TAAAAATTCTGTTGATTAATAATTAACAAAAATTAATTAATGTAAAAAAATATTGCAACATTAAAAATAGAGTAATTAAAGTCCCCCGTTTATTTCGCTCACTCCTTCTCTCTCTTTTTTGATTATTTTCTGCTTTTGTCGTTCATTTTTGGTCAATGCTCGATGAATGACAAGGGGAAAATTTTAGGAATGAATCGGAAAGAATGAAAATGTTTAAACAAACATAGAGACAGCCGTAAAGACCGCACTGTTCGGTGCGATCATTTGACGTCACTGGACTATGCTCTCTGAGACCAAATTTGTGTGGCAACAGTTTTGTGCTTTTTACGTGAAAAATTTAAAAAAAAAGAAAAAGTGATGGAAATTTTTTAAAATTGTTTATATTTTAGTATATCCTATATCTTTAATTTAAAAAATAATTGTTAGTGTATTTAAAAGATAAAGTGATTTTAAATATCTTCAGTTGGCAAAAATGCCCAAAAATTTCATTTCTTCACAGAAATGCCTTTTGCGGACATATACCTAGATAGCAAGCTGGACTTTTACCATGCAACAGGAAGGTGCAGTGCTGTAAACGCTTTAAGTCTTGGTGCTAAAAAATAATAAAAAATAACAATGTGTTTTTTAAAAACATTATTTGTTTAAAAATAATAATTAATTATAGCGAAATAATAAAAAAATATTATTAATCTTCGTTTATTTAAGCTTATTCTACATTTAATTAAACATTATGCATCCAATATAGTTTTTAATTCTTCAGATAAAATGAACCGGAATTTTTATTTTCAACTTTGTAATTAACAGAGATATGGATGGATTATAGATCAACAGAGTTATATAGGGTTTGCGAGGAATTACCTATTTTGGGAATTAATAGAGACTATCTTAATCCGCCTACCACACTTATACACCTATCCTCCCTTGATCCCTCCAAATCCTCTGATCCGATATTTCTTCAAATCCATATTAATCCAGTAAATCCAAAGATCTTCTTCTCAATCACTATATTTCTAGGTCTCATTTGGAAAAAATTAAATTTTATTAACAAATTTCTTTGATTTTTCCGGTTAGACTATTAAAGGGCATTTTTAAATTATTCATGTGAATTACCTTTGTATTTTAATTTTTCTTTGACAAATGGATTTCCCAATTACCCCTCTAACATTTTGGCAGACAATAACAGAGTCACAGGGAATTCCTTTTTATTAATTTGGCAAGATGTCATTGCGGACAAGTTCATAATATGATGTAATTATTCAAACTTTTAATCGAGATATTTCCACGGCATTGTAATTTAGAATTATTTAAGTGTGGGTTAAAGAGTTGGAATAAGATGGACATATTTTTTAATAATATTTCAACAAATAGGAGCCTGAGGATAGACTATCATTTATCAGCTACTAGATTGGGATCCATTTGAAATGTTATAAACACATTTGTCATCGTCAGCTTACTGATCGCCTAGTTCCTGCCTCTTTGTCTGTTCAACCTCCCATTCCACCATCACCTACATTTGAACACTACATTATGGATAATGTAAATCTTGGACAACACTGACACAACAGAATTAACCTTAAAATTATATTAAATTATAGAAATTGGACTATAAATTAGGCAGAAATTAATTTTTCAAATTAACTTTATTCCAAATTCATATTTAGAATTATGTAATATTTAAAAAAATTATTTAAAAATTAATTTAAAAAAAATTTAAATTTTTTGCACTTTAATTTCATTGAATTAAGTAAAAGCACTTTGCTGGACATATGCTCTATTTGTGAAATTTTATTTAGAAAAAACCCCATCATGCCCAGACATTTCGCAACTTAACTGGGTAAAATCATTATATAAGCACTTGAGGATTCTTACACATTAAGTCAAATTTTAAATTTTCTTAATAAATCCTTTAGATTTCTTGTTTATTATTATTTTATGAAACTTTGCTTCCACGGTTTAGAGATAATATATCAGATTTAATCTTCCATATCTTAAAGTGGACGTCAAGCCCTTCTAGCAGTTTTACTAGACGGCTTTCACATTACGTTCTGTTGCTCTACCGGTACGATAACTTTCCTTTAGAGCTGGGTCAAATCATATTTTAAAAAAGAAACAGAAACTTTTCAGGTAAAGAGGATCTAAGACATATCCTCGAGTCTATCTATAGCGATTAATTAAACGCATCTGATAAATAGTTGTTGCTTCCAGTAACTAAAATACTTTCGTTTTTTCTATTTAAAATCTATTTAATTTAATTTAGATATCATTTTTAAATTAAAAATGAAATTTGCACTTTTGATAACGTTAACCATTTATTCGACGAATGCCATGGTTAATGTCGTTCCAAGCGTAAATCCCCACGTTTTTGTCAGAGAGATAAATGAACTGAGACGTCATAACACCTACTCGCCACCTCAAGGCTTTTTGAATAATTCAGGCTCGGAACAGATCAGTTTGAAACGGAAAAACAGTACGATAATATTATTTATAGTTCACTTCCCACAAGATAACTTCCCCAAAAAATTAGATATCTAAATTTATAATTTATTTTAGCGGACCGCAAAATTTCTCGAAAGTTCAAGAATCTCTCGATTAAGGCAAAAGCATCTCAATCCGATTTTCATAAATTTGGTGCTGGTGCCATAGAAACGCGAAATTCGCGTAAGTTTTTTTTGTTTTATTAATTAGGGAAAGCTCTGACTATAGGTGAGGCTCAGAGATTCAGAAAATTTAATTAAATCAAGTCACTTTATCTGAGCATCGGAACTGTTTTACCACAAAAATTAAATTTTAGCGAGGACTACATTAGGTTGACAAATTATTTTAATTTTAGCACCAAATTTCAACGGGGCAGTTGATGATTACACAATTAAAGATCAAAAGGCTAATGAGATTCATGGCCTTTTGACCGATCAGCAAACAAATCGAGAGAATTACAATAAAGAGAAACTGAAATCTTCACATTTTGAAAATAAAACGAATACAATTGAGGTAATAATTTTTGAGTTAGGGAGAGATATTGGTCAAACATTAAACTGGGCTGTTATTAATTTTTGATGAACCACTCATGTTCCAAACAGTTTTAAACTTATGATACTATGACCAGAAGACCACTTTTTTAGGACTTTTTTAGGACCACTCATTTAGGGCATAATACCACTTAAAATTCGTGAACCAATCCAATTTTATAACTAATACCATCGACTTTGTATGTTAATTTTGACAGAAAAATGGCACAGTTTCGGCAATTGACAACAGAACTTTAGCCAATGAAAAGAAAATCTTTAATCCAAATAAGATTCAGCCTTTAAACATTCACTTATTGAATGGGCATGAACATAAAACTTTGGATAAAGGGGGTCACAAAAATTACATTTCAATTGAAAAAAGGGCTAATTCTGCACCTGTTACTGAGAACAAAGAAACTGAGTTATCACAAAACACTAATTTGGAAATTAATGGTAATTACTTTTAGGAATTATCAGGAATCATATTAATAAAAATTTATTAGTAAAATTCATAAGTCAGTAGGATTTAAGATTTTTATATTTAACACTGTAGTCTTCCATTTATGTTTAGCCACGTATAAGCTACAAATTTAATTTTTCTTCAACTTATAAAATTAAAAAATTAATTTTCTAAAGAATTCAATGCTAAAGAAGTTAATAATTTCCTCCATGTAATGAATCGCTTCATTTCAATTGGCGGACTCGCTATGAAGGATTTAATGGATGTTCATGGAAACACAATGAATAGCCAAGGAAGAATTAGCTTCATTTATGCTGTTAAAGCGTCTAGTTCGGAGAGAATGTTTAATATTGTTAAAGATATATTGAATATCTTTGAAATGAATGGTAATTATTGTTTTTGGATTATATTCTAAAAAAATTCTAGATATTTCCTTAATAGCCTTGTATAGGGCCGACGAAGTTTCCTTCTAAACTAGAAGATAAAATAGTCTCATTATTATGCCCCTCCATCTTATGCTATTTTCATAAATTGACTAGACAGATCTATAAAGTAAGAGCGAAGTAAAAGTTTAATCCCGGGCAGGCTTCGATCCTGCGATTTCCTGGCAGTTATTGCTAGGCGCTTTCGCTCACCACGTATAGGTGCTCTACCAACTGAGCTACCAGGACGCTGCTTTCAACTTCTCTTTCAATAGATTTTAAACCCCCGCCTAGTGAGCGTTTTACATGCTAGCCGGCTGGATCTTTCTCTCTTTCTCTTCCTTAGAATAGTTTGATAAAATAAAAAATTAAAGATCGAACACTTCGTTTATCATCCTCATTCATTTATAAATTAATTTTAGGCATTGAAGACGTTAAAGGAGTTTATTCTCAATTAACTTCGTGGGCTTTTGGCACATTTGCATGCAATCTGCCTTACAGCATTAAAGAAAACAATGGTGATATTGTTCCATTCCCGACATTTGCAGCGGAAAAGGAATTAAAAATGCTGTTGGAGATGATAATATATTAGTATGTTGTAGAGAGGGGGGGGGGATAAGAGGGGGAGGGAGGTGGGGATTAAAATAGGATAAAAATAATAACTTTTAAATAACAATTTTGGATTGCCATACGAAACGGCCATAATCTAAATTAAAAAACATAAACTTTACTACTACGGGGAAAAATCGTGTTGGTAAGATCCCTGATATGAGATGATTTTTACAGAAAATTGTATTTAACCTTTCATATTTAATTGTTTTTGTTTCTTAGCAACAAAGAGAATTATGGAAAAATCAAACAAAGCGTCACTGAAGTAATTACATATATTTCTCAATTATTTTCTGAGGAAGAATTCTGCGACGGGGGTTTTAGTAATGTATTTAATACTCCAAATTTCAAAACAACTCGAATCAATTCCTCACCAGCAGCAATTGAGTTTCACGAATACTTGGGAAATTTCCCTTATGATTTTGAAATGAAAGTCAAATCGCCTGGAATACAAAGTAAAGTTAAATTTAACTTGGAAATTTAACTTGGTTTAGCAAAAGTTTAGTTCCCGGGCAGGATTCGAACCTACGACCTCCACGTAGTTATTGCTAGGCGCTTTCGCTTATCGTTTATAGGGGCTCTACCACTGAACTACCGGGGCATCGACTAATGCCTTTCATAATTTTTTATACGATACCCATTAAAGAAATTATAGAACATACGATTTCAACTTCAATGGCACACTTAAAAGACGCCCTTCAAAAAATAAAATTAAATATTTCAGCTTTTGACCCTCACGAAATAAACAATTACATAATTAATGTTTTGAGATATTCTGAAATAACCACAAATAATCCAAAAGAGATAATGCAAGAAGCGGGCCAATTTTTTATTGTAAAGCAACAAAGAAATGAATTTATTTCGTTTTTGGAATATATTAAATCAAATAGATTAGCTTTAATTAGCAAAGATTTGTTTGATATTTTTGAAATGCATGGAATTCCTGAAGGAGAAAAGCGTTCACAAGTAAATAAAAGATATTCTTCATATTCATTTATCAAGATTAAAAACTCAAAATAATAAGAGTTTACCCTGATTCTAGACTAGAATATGAATCTAACCTGAGAAACACCGAAAGATCGAGTCGGGCCTAAGATATTTGGCCCGAAAGTGACTTGTACAGGCCCGACTCGATAAAAGCAAGCCCGAAAAAATGCCTCGACCGCCGGCCAGACTCGAAAACGGCAACCTTTAAAATAATATTTTATAGGTTAAACTTTTTTTAATTTTTTTGGTTCTGGAAAAATAATAGCTGAATCTTTATTACAACGAATAAATTTTAATACATATCTCTCGTAATATACTTAAAGCTTTTCTATCTTGGACACTCTCCGTTAAAAATTGGAAAGAGGTGATATCTCGTGAGAAATCGACCTTTCCCTACCGTTCTCCACTCTCATACTCTCAATAATCCCTTCCAAATTCCAATCAAAAAATTTATATATTTATTCCAGTTGTGCTTCTGGGCAATCAACACATTTCTGTTGAATTTAATCAGTACATCAACAAGAAAGGACCGCAGAGAAATAATTTATTTGTATAAATTCAAGGTCACCAGAGAACAAATTTCGGAAATGTTAAAAATGATTTATGAAAGGTATAAATAATTATCATGAAATAAATCCTTATTTTCATTCTAAGCGCTTCAAACGCCGAGGAAAAGTCAAAAATACGATGGAGCGCTTTGAATACCGCAAAATATATTTTGGAAATGTTTAAAAAAGGAAAGGATGTTTTTGATGGAGGATGTAAAGAAACATTTTTTAATGAGGAGAAAAGTGAGAAGAAAATCGGAAATAAAAATTTGGAAGGAAAGTCCAAAAAATAAATGAGTGAAAAGGAAAAAGGAATAATGGACAAAGGATATTACGGAAAAAATCCAAATGAAGATGCCAATTTCTGAACAACCAAAATTTTAATTTCTCGATTAACAAACACCAAAATCCCTAGTTTTAGTCCTTTTTGGTGTGTTTGCTGGAAGGATTGTGGGCCTTCTTAATCATCAACTACCCCCCCCCCCCCAATATCGATGTTGAATAGTTTTTGGCTTTAAATAATTTTTGGCTTTGAATCAAAGTAATTTGAATTGAATTTAAGTTGTCCTAAATAAGATTGACATATCCGGATATCCTGACAAAAATAGTCATGCTATCCGGAAAAAAGTTAATAATATCAGAATGTATGGGATTTTTCGTGTCCCCATTAAGGTTGGCGGATAGCTTGGAAATCTTTGGATATCCGGATCCGGTATCCGAACCGAAAATTTCCGGATATCCGGCCTTTTTAGGCTCCGAATATCCGTATCCGCCAACCTTAGTCCCTATACTTTTCAATGCTTTTTTATTTGCACAATGTCTTCCTACTTTCCTAAGTAAACAGGTCATCTCATAGATTAAAAGCCAGAAAGTATCTAAGCCTAATTCCATCGATACATTCATTTTTATTAGATGTTAGTCAAAAATGCTGAATAAATTCAGCTTTAAATTGAAATAAAATACAGCCAAATTTTGGCTTTTTATTATTAAAAAGAAAGAATAAATTTAAATAATTAATTTGTATTTTTTGTGTTTACATAATTAAAAGCGGTTATCATCTGAACATCCTAACTTTGCGGGTAACAGGAGAATATACCCCTATAGGGGTCATCTTCAAAGAACTTGACTTTTTCAAACCAGGATATTTGGTCTGCTACCCCTATTTAGGCATGATATCCTGCAAGGCGCAAAAGTCGCGGCGCAAAATGAGCTCGGCGCAAAAGTCACGGCACCGTGTCTTCGAAATGAAATAATTGATTTATTTAAAATTCAGAATCTTTTCTTGATTACGATTCGCATATATTTTAGCCAAATCCCGAGTTTGGCTCCCAAAAAATAAGTGATTAACAACAAATGGAACCTATCGAAGTGATCAACAATATAATAAATAGAAAAATAAAGAAAATAATTGATATTTCTGTGAATATTATTAAAGGGATTTTTAGAAAATAAAAAGTCAAAATAGAAATTAAAAACAATTAAGAAAGTGAAATTAGAAAAAAATTTAAAAAAGTTAGCGTAATTACCGGTGTTAAAAAATTCTCCAAATTTAAGTTAATATTTATTACTTTAATTATAGTTTATTAAAATTTTTGTTTTATTAATCTTTACGGGGGTTGATTAAATTTTAAGGAATCGAAATTTTTCCTTGCATAACTGTTTATTCATGAAGATTCTTCTGACGTAATTTTCTGAGTCTAAATTCTTTTTGACAAAATTTCTATCAAAAGGCGTGTTACTCTAAAGCTAGTTTTTTTCGTATTCGAAATCACCATCGAAGTCTTGGACATTTTACAAATTTAAAAAATAAATCAAGTCAACCAAAGTTGACTTGCAAAAATATTAGGGTGTAACATAAATAATTAGCCCCCATGTGTTAAGTGGTTTAAATAATAAATGTTTTCAGACTTCGAATTATATTTTTTTATAATCCTAAGAGAGTTGCCTATTTTCTGGCAAAAAATCAGAATCCTAGGAGTAGGTTGGCAGGAGTTAGAGGTAACATTGAGATATCTGAACATTGAGATATAAAGTTTACAATTGTCATGGTTTAAGGGGGGCTAATTATTTATGTTACACCCTAATACTATAACCAAAACAGTCTTGAGAAAAATTCCTAAATCATTAAAATAAACAGTCTATTTAAGTTAAAAATTTTGAAATTAACAATAAGAAATAGAAATTCGATACACACTATGGAAAAGGGAGATTTTTCAGGAATTCATTTAAGATTAGACTATGAGGTCTTAATTCTAGATTAACTGATAATCTCAGCTTCCAAAAAATAACATGGAACATGCTAGCTTGGAAAGTTATAATACAAAATATAATTATGAAGAACAAAATAATTAAAATTTAACATTGAGAGGAATTCCAATCAGCTTACATTTAAATAGTTGAGTTTGAATTTAGCGGAAGTTTTCAATGGGCCTAATTGAAATTTTACTCATAAAAAAATACGAAAATTCCGACTTTAAATGTTAAAAATTAGAAGAAATAGAGAAAGCCAGCATCTTCAGTAGACCGAACGGGTGTGTTTAACAATAAGAAGTAGAAATTAGATACACACTATGGAAAAGGGAGATTACACCAGCTTTAGGAACTAAATAGCTAATTAAATATTACAATAAAAATGTGCCTACTTAAGATCCGATTTGGAAACCTTTTCTTAATCAGAAATACCTCTGATCTTCAAACACCCTTAATTTACTACATATTATTTCTTCTCAATAACTTTACCAATAAAAAATATTTTCGGTACAAATACATAAATTAAAATATTTTTATTGCCTTTTTGGACTTTAAACTCAAAATAAATTGCTAACTGAAATGTTCCCGAATGTGTAATTGGAATTGATATAATGATCGATCAGCTGTCATTCACTCCCTTCCCTTCCAATTTAATGACTGTTCTTGACCTTTACAAAATGTTTAGTTTCTTCCCCCTGTCATTTCTCCTTTTTATAATCTGATTGACAGACGCTTGATAAGCCGCAAACCACGACCACAAGAGTTTTTGAGACGATCAATTTGCCTTTTAATTAAAAATAAAAATATTTTTATTTTTATATAAACACATGTTTCTTCTATTTTTATTAAATTATTATTCGGGTATATTCGGGTATCTTCCAAAATTTGTTTGTTCATATGTTTCCACACTCAAAATTATTCACTCTAACTAGTACAATTATTCCCATGCCAATGTAAAAAACAATCAAATGTCTCAATTTTACCCCAAATTTTTTATTATTTGTTGTTTTGATTGATAGGAATTTTATGTTAAATGTGATTAAATTGTGGCAAAAAATAATAATAAGTGTTTGTAGTTTATATTTAAAAAATCATATAATCATTTATAGCAGGGCTCGGATTCGTACTTTTTTAAAAGTGTTGTATTAAGTGCGGACATATTAGTGGCCGTTTTTTAATTTGGTATTTTAGAATTAATTTCCTTAAAAATATTTTTTATTTTTTAACGAATTTTATTAGTGTATTTTCTAAAGGATCCCAGCTGTACCTAGTGTTAGAATAAAGAGGAGATTTAGATCTATATGTTTATTAATAATAAAGAGGAATATTCGTAAAAAACACCCCTAAAATTTTAGCTAATGATTGTTGAAATTTTTACTAAAAATCGGAAATCGAAATTCCAAGTGCGAAGTTAAAACTGAGCTATAAAAATTATAAAATGCTACATTATATTTATTTTTTTATTATTTCGTTTTTAAATATTCGTTAATTTACTAGATAAATGTGGGTTTCGATCGGTTGCACAATGTATTTTTTGGAAGCTGAACGTTATCCAGCTACTAATCTTAAACTCAAAAATGTCTAAGATTGTAGATTAAAGTCTGTTCGCCATGAAAAAAGTACATTGAAATGCACAAAATGCTCAGTTAAAACAAGAAATATTAGAAAAGATTCATTTAGGATAGAAATATAAAAGATTTGAGCACAAAAAATATTTTCTAATTTAATTTGGAGTGTACTTTTTATTTAAAAATTTTGTCCCTGTGTACTTTTAAATCGAGATTTTTGTACTTCTGATTGGCATTTTGTCGATCCGAGCTCTGATTTATAAATATTATATGAGGGCCACAGGCCTATCACCGGACAGGCATCAAAACTATGGTCTTCTGGCATTTAGCGACCTATTCTTTTCCGTTCCTGTTATCAGAAAATTTTATGAACCGATTCCTTATGTACAGTACTCAAATACAGAGAAATAAAGACACTTTTATGGATATACCGATTGTTCTTACATACGGGTTTTATATTTTAGTGGATCTTAGACCCCTCTATCTTAAACCCTCCCCCCTCCCCCATAGAGAGCGTTCTAAGTGCGATAGCCATCGGACTCCCTTGTTTCTTGCATTGTTTTATGTAGTAAATTTTATCGAATTTTTTAATTTTACTAAAATTTTTTGTTTAAATTATTTTAATGAATTTTAACTATAAAACAATTAAAAGTTTCTCCCATAATATTTTAGAATGTTGCACTTTAAAAATATTATTTTTCTTTTATTTTCCATCATTTTCCTCTTTAAAACAACATTTTCTAAAGGAGTTTCATTTAATTCCAAAAGCACAGATTACGACCCTTTTAAACTAACACGTGAGGAATTGCTCCAATTAAATGAAGATTATGATCCCGGTTATGAAAAAGATGTTGGGAAATTTGTTGGAGATTTTTTTTCTGATTCTTCTAGTCAATTAATAATTGATTTGGATTTATTTAAACAATTATGGAATGAATTGAATGAAATGAGACAGGCAGCTATTGATGGGGATGTTGATTATATTAGAGTAAATTATAAATTATTTTTATATTTAATTGAGTAATTGGGTCTTAAATTTTGTGAGACAATGAAAGATAGAATAAAAAAGACCTAAGTTGATAGTTGATAAATAGGGTTGTCGGCTTCCGGAAACTCTTCGGATATCCGAAAACCGAACCGAAAAATTATCGGTTCTTCGGTTCTGTTCGGTCCAGAACAGACAACAAACCTTTGATTTTCTTATGCAAGAAATTTAGATAATCAAATATCAAGCTCACAATAACCGAAGATTTTTAAGAGAGATTTAGCTCTCTTCCTAACTTTAAAGTACATAATCCTTCATCCAAGTTGCTCGAAAAACACATTACTAAAATTATCAAATTAATAATTATTTTAATTTACAGGATGTTATCAAATTTTTAGAGCCAATAACCAAATATGATATTTCAGCGGTAAATAAAAATATAATATTTTAATTAAATTAATATCCATCTAATTAATAGCCATGTTTATCAGATTTAACTCATTTTCTTATGACCATCTATAATTATGCAGTAACTGCAAATTCGGCTAGTAAATGTAATAATTGTAGCTGTACAGAAGAATATAGAGAAGAATTTAGAAAATTTCAATGGATTTTTGATGGTTTATTTTTAAACTTTTATAAATTTAATTTTCAAAAAATTTAGTTGTTGATGCTATGGGAAAGGTTCCAGCAGCCGTTGTTTGTAAGTACTGTATTTCGTCTAATCTACTCTACTAGTACGGTCCCTTATCAATACGGGCCTCTTTACTAAGGCCTCCTTTATTAGCCCTCTTTACTTGAAGTAAAATTGTTAAAAACACAAAAACACACTCAATAAAACTTAATCTGGGATTTGTTTATTCGTAATCAGTTAGTTACCCCTCAGGTACGCTTCTATTCATGGCTCTTATCCATGTTATAAGTCCAATAAGGAAATTTTTTACTTTTCTTAATTAAAATATTTATAGCCTAATAAATCTTCTAAATAATTTTTCATATGTACTTTATTAATCATTTTAACAGCTGGAAATAATCTATGGACGGGTTCTTGGGCAACTTGCCGTAAAATATCTGCAAGAAAGAATAAACAAGGGTTTAATAATTAAATTATTTTCATATTTTTTTATTTTTCTGTTTAGTCAATTATGGCAAGGCCAGTATTGTATGGCACGTTTTCAGGTAAATTAAATATACAAAGTTTATTCAATTAAATTTTTCATTAATAACAGCCCTACAATCGACACAGTCCTTTAAAAGCTTTTTCTGGCCAACCAACTGATCCTACTGCAGTGTGCAGGTATACAATGGGGATTTTTATTAGGCAATGGGAATTCACTAGGCAATTGGTGGATGCACTTGAAAAACTGAACTTTTAAGTGGAAGTAAATGACATTATAGTTGAGTAATCGGCTCTATTACACAATATACGTCCAATCAACTATTATGCGTCCAATCAACTTTTATACGTCCAATTAAAGTTTATACGTCCAATGAAAAGATTATGCGTCCAATAAAAATTTATGCGTCCAATGAAAAGTTTATGCGTCCAATCAAATTTTATATGTCCAAAGACATTTTTATTGGTGACCGGGCCGGATCCGGCCGGATTTTTCCAGAGTCCGGATACCAAATCCGGGTTTTTTCGCGATCTCCGGATATATCCAGAAAAATCCGGCTGGATCCGGTCCGGCTCTATTGCCAAATCCGGATCCGAATCCTTTTTAAACCGGATTTGAGATTTGTCCGGTGACGGGGACGGTTGTTCATGTGACGGGAACAGTTGTCTATTAACACCTTTTGAGCAAGGCGTTATAATAAATAAAAATTATTTTGATTTTTTCTGAATTTATTTTTTTCACTGGGCGTATAAAAATTTATTTGGACGCATAAACTTTGATTGGACGTATAAAAATTTGATTGGACGCATAAATTTTTATTGGACGTATAATCTTTGATTGGACGTATAAAAGTTGATTGGACGCATAATAGTTGATTGGACGCATAATAGTTGATTGGACGTATATTGTGTAATAGAGCCGAGTATTCTACTAATATGTATGTACATGAAATGATACTTTATTAATATCCCACCCGGACCCTTATTCGGGTCTCAGATTAATTTTCCTTTTTTACTTTCCTTTTAATATTCGAGAGAATTTAAATTAGCCAAAGCATTGCTCTGACTGTCAAAAATATTCAACGGATACGATAATTAACAAGATTTTTAGATCCAATTTTTTATCTTAAAATTAAAATATATTGTATGTATTAATACATACCTTTCAATTTAGAGGTAATGCAACAAAGAGCACTCATTTCGACGATTGGAGTGATTATGAAAAAACTTGTTTTGACATGGTTATTTGACATAGGCTTTTTAAACTTATTTTTTAATTTTTAGATGCCTTTATTAAATCTAGGTCTATGTACACCGTAAATTTTATTAATTTTAAACTTTAATATTCACAGTTTTAAGTGATTCCTGCACTGATTACGATGTCAGGAAAATTGTTCAATTTGGTAAAAATTTAGGAGAAAATAATTTTGGAACTTAATTTTTAAAGTTTACGAAAGTGCTGAACTTGCACTAAATACGAAGCTTGTCTGCAATGTAAAATTTAAATATTAAAAGATACGAGTAGGGATTTTGGTTTGTAACTGACACAAACAAACGAGGATTTATCTTTTCGAACATTGATATCCGAAGATTTTCCAATAACCAATAACTACCTATTTTCTCTATTAATTCCCCTGGCGAATTATTTTTTTAAAACCTTCCTTGGTATAGGAAATTAATCGAGGGGAATTATCCGAGTTTTGGCATTTTAACGTGCAGTAGGGTATTTGGGGTTGGGAATAATTGTTTCAACCCAACTCTAGTATGGGGAATTAATCGAGAGGGGGAATTATTCGAGGGAGGGGAATTAATAGAGAAAATACGGTATATATATATAAAAATAATATAATTCATTAAAATACATAATTATTTTCTAAGAAAAAGTGTTGTTAGATGACATAATTAATTTTATAATATTTTATTTCTAAAATTCTTAATTTTTTGACAATTTTTAAGACTCTTAATTATTTTTGGGACATTTTTCTTTATTTTTCGTTTATTAATTCCCATATTTTCAGGTGTCTGTACAGGTAATAAATATTCCAAACTTGCTATTTAATTACATAACTAAAAGACTATTGTTTAACTCTAATTTTTCTTATAGTGTAGCAATTCTAGACCAGAAAATCAGATTTATCATGACCAAAAGTCGATGGCTGTTCTGTTAGCCTTTATTTTCCATCAAAATTTTCTAATTTTATTTTTTAGATTTTTACTTTTTGCAATAGCTTCTTTAATGTTATTCGGCACTTGTTATGATGTTTATGTACATAGACCGCTAGAAAAAAGCTTAAAAATTCAGCGACTAAAAATAAATGGAGGTAATGGAAAGCCTGTTAGTGTAGAGCCGCAATCAAAATTTGTTACAATTATTAGGCTATTTTCTGTGGTACAAATCTTTTTTAGTCGTATACTTTTTGTGTTTAATATAGGCTCGTAATTTGGACTATATTTTGGACACAAGAATGGAGGAAGGACAGATTCGGTGTTTACACGGGGCCAGATTCCTGAGCATGTGCTGGGTTAGTAAAGATAACTATTTTTAAATTTTTAGTGTGAAATGTCACGTTGTAACCTCATGAAAGTATTTAACTTAGCGAGGTTGAAAGCCTTGAATTTTTAAGTCCTAGTGGTCCCAACTTGGGTTTTACACTAACCACACAAGTCTTGTCAATCTTTTTTATAACTTTATATTTTTAGGTCATCTTTGGACATACTGTAAGTTCATTTTTCAATTAAATATGTGCAGCCTAACCACAAAATAATGTTCAGTTTAAGATACACTTATGGGATCTGGTTCAGAGAATTAACCGATGTCCTCTATAAAATTACAATTTCTTAGGAGATATAAATTTCCTCAGACCCAAGAATTTATTTTGTAGTTAGGTCAATAGAATAGTGAATATAAGACTTAAATATAATAGTGAGGTCCTCCGACTGTAATTTAATAGTTTCTGTAAAATATTTTTACAAATTTTACAGTACTACTATATCTGTACGAGTTTAACAACCGGTAATTTAATTTAATCAAAAAATTTCTTTGACTAATTATTAAAGATAATTTACTTCAAACCATGCAAGAATTTACCAAATTTTTTTATAATCAAATGGTTGTACAGGCACCTCTAGCTGTAGACTCTTTCTTTTTACTTAGGTAAATGAAATATTGGAAGTTTTACTTGAAATTAATATTTTTAGTGGATTGCTTACTTCTTATATTTTTCTTGTAAAACTACAAAAGAAACAATTTCGGTTAAATTCATTCAGCACCTGGTTAGTTTACAAACTAATTTTTTAAGTTTTAAAAAATTATTTAGAGATACGGAAAATTCTTTTGATTAAATTTAATATTTTTGTTAAGCCTTTTCTCGGTTTCAAACACATCAGAAGATTTCGGTTGGGTTTGTCGGTTCCAGTTAATAATGAATTGGTGGAACCGACAATTCAGCTCTTGAATATACCGTCCTCTTGAATATTCTAAAATAATGATCGAACGACATTTTTTTAATATACAGTGCTCCACATAACTATACTTCCACCCCTATTTTCGTGTTTTTTCCATTTAGACCCCAAAAATTTTTTAAACTATCGTTTAAATATTGCCCTCAGGTCCAATTCAAATTTTCATTAAATCCTAACTTATCTACTTAATCCGATTGTGTTATTTATAACGAATATACAACTAAGCTTGCAAAATTATACGAGTACTCATTTAACAAACAAATATTCATCTAAAAAATATTTTTTAATCCTTAGGTTCGCTTATTATGTACGCAGATATCTTAGGTTATACTTCTTTTAAAAATTATACTTATCTATTTAGACTTACACCTGTATATTTGTTTGTTATGATATTATTGGGTTTAGTTTTTAAAAATATATTTTTAAATCATTATTTTATATATCAGTAACTGTACTTAATTACATCTCTGAGGGGCCTTTCTGGCAGCCTATTGTAATTTAATCACCAATCTTCCTCTAATTCTTTCCTTTAAGGATCCAAACTTTTGTAGAAATAGTTGGTGGACAAATCTACTTTACATTAACAATTTTGTTTTACAGGCAGATTCGGTTATTGACACTTTATTTTTATTTTAATATTTCCAAAATTTAAGTGCATGGGATGGACATGGTATCTAGCTAATGATTTTCAGTTATATGCTTTTGCACCAATTTTAATAATTGCTCTGCATAGGTAAAATATGAACATCGGAAGGGGGGGGGTATCTCGATGTAGTTTAAATTTTTCGAGGAATTAAATTTATGTTTATGATTTCTTGTCGGGGCATAGGATTATATGTAAATATATTCTGATCCTAAAAATATTCCTGATATCCAGAAATTTTTGTTTCGGATATCAGATCCAGATATCCAAAGATTTCTTAGGATCCGCCAACCCTTATAAGTCAAATAAAGATTTGTTAGTGATGGGTTCCGGCCAAAAATGGCTAATAATTTTTTACCCTCCCTTCGTTGAAAGCCTAGAAATTAAAAAAATTTAATTTTAGATATAAAATGGGTGGAGTGTTTTTTGGCATTCTCCTTCTCTTCCTCTCTTCGGTCTTCACAGTGATAATCACTATAATTAAAGGATATCCCCCAGCACCACTACTTACTACAAAACTTCAAATGTTTTTTTCTTAAAATTTTATAAATTTTTGTAATTCAAAAATCCTTTTAGTATTGCCAACCTAAAACAATATTGGTCAGATCTTTACGGTTTTATCTATTACTAATGATTATAAAAATTTTCATCTTTATATAGTTAAGCCTTATATCCGTTGTGGTCCCTATATTGTTGGCTGTATTGTTGGGTATTTCCTCTCAGAATGTAAACGACAACGGGAAAATAGATTTCAACTTACAAAAGTATCTGTATAAATTATGAATTTAAAATTAGTTAATCATCTTTGGGGTCTAATATACGGTTCGATATTACGTGGCGGGGTCTGGGCTTACGGGGAAGGGGACTTAAGGGGAATTTGATGAACGGGGACGGGGTGGGGGTCCCCCGCCTCCGTGGAATTTCCTTCCCCGGGGACGTGGATCTAACCTCGATTTAATATTTATGATTAGTCAAAAGTTAATTTTTGTAGCTTTGTGCCACTCTTAGTTAATGCGATATTTAGCTTCTATGGAAGATTTTATAATTTACTTGATTCAGATTTCATTAATAAATTTTCAGCTCCAATGGGTCCTTGGTTGGTCCATTAGTGCAATTCTAGGGTTTTATTCAATTTTTGGTTTGTATGAATATACACGGACTGGCGACATTTCTTTGTGGTATTCCCTTACATATGCTGCGATCGGACGTCTATCTTTTGCTATAGCTTTGGGATGGATTGCTTTTGCTTGCGAGACAAACCATGGCCGTAATCTCTTGAAATAATTTTCAAAAAATAATTTTTTAAAGAAACAATGAATGCCATTCTTGGCCACAAAATGTTTATTCCTCTTAGCAAGATTACTGTATAATTACTTTAAATTTTGTAGTAAAATTTTAAATTAAAGTTTTGTGCTTATTTGCTACACCCAATATTGTTGCAATTATATTATTTCAGTCGGCCTAGTGCTTTTCACTTTACTCATTCATTCCAATTGGTGAATTTTTTGATTTAGATAAGTTCTCAAAATCTAATAATTTTTCATAGGTAGAGTTCTATAGATAGTATGAATTTCCAGGGACACGCCCAAAACGGCGCGCAGCCACTAAGGCGCAAAACCATAACTTGCTTCAAGATTTCTAATCTCACCAAATTTGGTATTAAACGATTCCTCTCATCGAGATAAAGAGATTGGTAGCAAAATTTTCAAGGGCCAGAAATTTTCCAGCAAGTTACGGCTTTGCGCCGTTTTGGGTTGTACCCGGATTTCCATGTTTGACCTCTTTGAATTCTGAAGCTACCAAGAAACATAGATTTAGCTACCTATGTCGATAAGATCGTTTGTCATCATTCCAAATTTTTATATTATGGTTGCGACTAGTGTTCGGCAAATGGGTTTTTTCGGTACCGGTACCGGTAGTACCGAAAAGTACCGATACCGAATTAGTACCGAAAATTCCTAAATCTTATCGGTACCGTACCGGTACCGGTAGTACCGAAAAGTACCGAAACCGAAAAGTACCGATGAAAAATTTTCGGTACTACCGCGGTATTTCGGTACTCATAATAAAATGATATAATATCAAAATTTGGACTTATAAATGTGTTAATTGATGTGTAACAGTTCGATGTGCCTGAAGGATCGTTGTTAATAGGAATATCAAGAGATTAAGAGGGATATCGGAGGATTTCGCTGGATTTGAGCGGATTAAGATTGCTTTATGAGATGTATAGCCTCTAACTTCTTTATCCCTCAAATCACATTATACGACTCTAAATCCACCGATATCTATCTTATTCTATCGATATCCCACCAAATCCTATTAATGGTGTCAAATCCACCGATATCCTATTTAATCCTAATATCCTTAAATCTTTCAAAACCCTCTATATAACTTTTAAACCTCTCAAATTCCCTAGTATTTTTCTTAATCCCCGCAAATCCATTTTGCAAATCCGCAAATCCATTTTATACCTATTAATCCGCAAATATCCTCTTAAGATCTTTTAATTTCGCGGGATATATGTATGCGGGATATCAGAGGATTGTGAGTAGGAATCCCCAAACATTCTTAACATAAGCTTAATCGGGGATATCAGGAATTTGAGGAGGGGGATTCTGAAATTCCAAAAGCTGAAATTTTGAAGGTCAAGAAGCCAGATTTCTTTTTGTTCAAGCGCCGCAGGCAAAAATTTTCGATCATTGATAGGCTTATAAGCCAGATTTCTTTACTTTTGAGCGCCGCCGGCGAAATTTTGAGAATTTTTAAGTCCAAATGATAATATTTTTCATTTTTTTCTTCAAATTTCCCAGTACCGAAAAATCGGTACTACCGCGGTACTGGAAACCTCTTCGGTTCCGTACCGGTACCGGTAGTACCGAAAAGGGTACTTTATTAATATCCCGCCCCCCACCCCTATTTGAGTCTCAGATTAATTTCCCTTCTTTTACTGTCAATCATTTTTCCTTCAAACATTGCAGGTAAAAGGCAAGTACTAGGAAGGAAAAATAGACGGCAACCGCAAAGAAAGTATTTATAAGAAGGAAAATTGACCATTCCGAGGCAGGAAAAATAAAAAGTAAAATTAATCTGAGACTCAAATAGGGGTGGGGGGCGGGATATTAATAAAGTACCCCGAAAAGTACCGAAACCGAAAAGTACCGAAAATTCCAAAATCTTAGCCGTACCGTACCGGTATCGGTAGTACCGAAAAGTACCGATTCGGTACTTTCGGTAGTACCGCGGTAGTACCGAACCGTGCCGAACACTAGTTGCGACATAAATTTTTCATACTTAAGAATCCTATTTTCATAATTATTAGAATTTACGACCTAAATCTTTGGGCTTAACTGAATATTTTTTAAAAATATTTCAAAAAATCATTTATAAAAACATTATTTAGCTTTTAATGTTCTTCGCGGCAGTCTTTTGTGTTTACGGCTGTGCATTGTTACTTAGCTTGGCAATGGAAGTACCTGTCGCCCACATAGACAAATTAATTTTTGGCCCAGGCGGTGGAGGAAGCCAAAGATTACCCTCTACAGCTAGAAGTAATACGGGGACTTCTGACAAGTCGGGAGAGCAGCATCAACTTCAAGATTTTGAAGATGAAGGGACGGAAATAAAAAAAGAATCTACAGAACTAAAATTGTTAAGTAACGACGAAAAAATCGAAAAAGAAGAAATAAAATAAAAAAATAAATTTTAGAGAGAATTTTAAAAAATTATGTAAAAACTTGCAATAATTAGTAGAAATAATAACTAAAGATTTTTTTAAAATTTTTAATTATTTTATTAAAGGGATAGAATTAAATAAAATTAAAAAAAATATTTTTTCTTTAAAATTTATTAAAATTTATTAAATTTGAATTTGGTATTTTTCGGTTTTGCCACACCCCTCCCATATATTCGCAGGATATTATTTTTATTAATTCTTACAGAAAGGTCAGACTTCCTCCTTTTTTCACAATGGAAAGAAAATCTTTAATGACTAAATTGAATTAATGAATTAATAAAGTTAATTTTTATTTAATTAAAAAATAATTTTAATTGAAAACTACCGTACTATACTAATAGTAATGTGAAGGCTTAAGCAAAATTATCAGAGATGAAGGATTCTTAATACCCCCCCTATTCTTAATACCCATGCTAACCCATACAGATTCATCAATCTCACTTAATCCAATCTTTCACCCGATATCATTTCAAATCATACAATCTCTTCAAATCGCTCAATATCTCTTCGATATCTTAATATTTCTTTATTCCTTTACATCACCTTAATCAATACAAATCCCCTGATTTCTCTACAAAAACCTTAAAAATTCCATTAATACCAAGTCATTAATATTGTTTTAGAATCAGACTTTCAAGTTATAGCCATTCAGAGTTGGCGTCTTCATCGTTTATTAAATACATGTATGTATAATAATAAATTAACTTAGGCAAAAAGAAATTTTCAAATTTTCTAATACATATTTCTTGCCTAATGAAAAAACTTTGAAGAAAAAGATTATTTTTTTAAATTTCCTTTGTTTTTATTTTTTTATTTTCCTTTGGAAAAAAGTTGACCTATAAATTCAGTATTTTCTCCATTCATTCATCTTATTTCTATTTATAAATACATATGTATTATCAAGTTAGTTTTTATGTAAATATTTCTATTTTTTTAAATTTCAATATGTATAACTTTAATAAATTTGAATTAACATGGGGTGGCCTAAACCCGTTTTAGTTCTGGCGAGCTTTAGCCTTAATTCAATCAGAATGAAATTTTAACTCTATAGGAGATTAAAATCTGAGATTAAAACTAACCAATGAATTGTCAAAACATCGGAATCCCTGCCGGTTCCAGTTGAGTTAACTCATTAACCTAGCAAAAGCCAAGAATCAGTCTTGGTAATACCAAGGCTGGTCCCACCTTTTTTCTGTTTCCCTAGCCATTTCAAACTTTCTTGCTTGACATATAATTTACAATAGATCATTCGAAAGAGCTGTTCGAATTGGGTAGAATGATACCAAGATCGGTTAGATTTGGAACAAAATTATAAAGCTAAATCCTTGATAGATACACATGCTTTTTGTGATGTTGAAACAAATTAAAATAGATGCCATAACTATGTTGATTAAAGTCGGATTTCGATAATTTTAGTACCGTTCGACTCATTGTCAGCTCGAAGACTGTCGAATAGATTTAATTTTCCAATGAAAATGGAAAAAATAGAACAGAAAAAGGGGGGCATCCTTGTCATTACCTCGGTCTTTCTTCGAGCCTGTCACTTCAAATTCGTGGAAAAGATAAATAGTGGCGAATAACAAGAGAGTGCTAATTTTTACATTTAATTTCCAACAATAGTTTTAATAAACTTTCAGATTTAATAATATTTATTCTTTAAATTTTCGTCAAATGGATCCAACCAAACGAATTAATAAGGTTTGTTTCAATTACCTAAATGTATCTTTGACTGGTAAAAGACGGTTTTATGTCTCCATTTTATCTCAATTTTTATTTGCTTAGAAAAAAGGCTGACTGACTGACCTTTTTTACATATTTACCGAAAAAATTGACTGGGGGATGGGGGAGGAAGTAAATAAGTACCTAGTTTGTTTCGATATTTTACATGTTTGGAATTAGGCATCGAATGTGCTGAGTTAGAATATTGGCTAAATTTTATTTCGACTCCATTAACCGAATTCGAATTCAAAATAGGAATCAGAAATTAAAATTTCATGCATGAGTCACTCTTCGAACTCGAATTTGGGTCCCGAAGTCTAATTGAATACCTTGAACTAATATTCGATCTCAGCACTCTCCATTACCTACCCGAAAATCTCTAAAATTAAAATATAGCATTTTTCACATAATTAACCCGCGGGCTTGTATTGGGCAAGGATAAATTTTTACATTGTATTTTTGTAGTTATTTAATTTTGAAAAATTTTTTAGGAGTTTACAGACATTGTACGTCAGCCTCCACCTTTGTGTAATGCAGGTCCAATCAATGATGACCCTTATAATTGGCAAGCTACAATTTGTGGGCCGCCAAATTCGCCATATGAAGGAGGAGTATTTTACTTGGGTATTAACTTTCCACCGGAATATCCGATGAAACCACCAAAAGTATGGTTCAAAACACAGATTTACCATCCAAATATCGGCGAAAAGGGAAAAATTTGTCTGGACATTCTTCAGCATAAATGGTCACCGGCTTTGACTATTTCTAAAGGTAATTTTAGTGGATAGGGATTCAAAAAATGGTCCCCGGTTGATGCGAGACTTAATTAGGGAGGGGGTGGTGGTAAGCCAAAGTATTCGTATTTAAAAGCTCGGTAATAGTCGGTTTCGTAGTCGCCTTTTTTCTGACCATTTTTTCATTTTTCCTTAACGCCAATAACGTTGATTTAGTATCATTCGACATAGCCCGACGGGCACTATCTGAAAGGAGGTGCGGGATCATATTTTTTCCTCCTTCCTTAAACAACCTTTCATTTTTCCTCAATATGAAAAAATGGTCAGTCTTTTCCACGCTCTTAATTTTCCCTGTGGCATATTCAAATGAGAGACATTAATAAGGAAAGGACTAATTTTTTCTCATTGCCATTGTCAGGACGGAACAGACAGGAGATGGAACGACAAAAAGGTCGGACAGTCACCGGTCTTACCAGATCACAGACCAGATCTTCGGTCAGTTTTTGGTCATTCCGTGTTATGGTCGCTCTGTTATTTGGTCGTTCCTTGATTTGGTAAGACGGTGTTTTGTCTGTTCCGAGTTTTGGTATGATCCGTGTCTTGTCTGTTCCGTAAGTTAGCCTCACACGATTCAAAAATCATAAATGATGACCATTTTCATTTGAATATGCCACAAGGAATTTTAGTAAAATAAGGAAGGAAGAAAGACTGACCATTTTTTCATATTAAGGAAAATGAAAGGTTGTGTAAGGAAGGAGGAAAAAATATGATGCCGCACCTCCTTTCAGATAGAGCCGCTCGACGAGCTCTATCGAATGAATTATTGCATAAATTTTCGTCCCAGTGTGTTTTCGCCTCTATGGTGGTTAAATTTTCAGGGGTCTGTATTTCAGTCAAATCAAGTCGGATTTTTTCGATTGTGGTGTCATCCGACTCCGTTTGACGTGTTCCTCATAAAAAATAAGAGATAGAAAAGGAAAAATGAAAAAATTGTTAGAAAAAGAGTGGGTACGAAACCGACTATTACCAAATACTTTCGGAACAAATCGTTCTGACCACAGATTTCTGAATATCAATATGGTTTTCACGGTTCCAAATATCAAGAAGCATAAGAATTAATAGCCATATGATTAGGAAATATATATAAAGTTAGGACATGTATAAAGGAAGGACAGTATCGTTTTTGTGTTCGGATGGTCTTGAATCAGTTTTTGAAATATATTTTGTCTATTTTTTCAGTTTTGGTTTCAATCTGCTCTCTTTTCACCGATCCAAATCCAAAAAGTCCGATGAGGGATGCTATTGGTAAACAGTACGTAAATGATCGTGCTGCATACGATGCTACGGCTCGCGAATGGACTCAGAAGTATGCGATGTAATCAATTCTGATGGGAAAATAAAAAAATTTTTTTGTGGAATGATAAGATAAAATCATTGATATTTAATTGATTTTTCTGAAATTTAAATATTTTTTTAAACTCTAAACAATAAATATGGATTTTTTTTCAGATTCTTTGAACGGTGTGACATTTGCGCCCGCCGCCTGACCTAAAAAATAAAAATAAGATTACCTGCTGTCAAAAGCCGATTTTTTTAATTATAATAACGCCAAAAATCAGCCAAAAGTCTGGGCCATAAAAGTAAGTATAAATAATAGTGTTTCACCGGAACCGAAATTTTGACCGGAACCGGAACCGGATCCAATTTGAGTTCCGGTTTCCGGAACCGGAACCGGAACTTTTCAAAGTTCCGGCCCGGAACCGGAACCGGAACCGGAACTTTTAAAAAAATTTTGCTAGCAAATTTTAAAAATTTGCAGTTTAAGTAAAGTTGACTTTTCACCAACTTTTTCGGTTAACAGAAACCGAACCGAGACTTTTGATTAACCAAAACCAAACCGAAAATTTGTCGGCGATAAGTGATATATTTGGGTTAGAGAGTGGTGTATGAATGGATTTGGTGGTATAAGGGTTTGATATCAAACGATATAAGGATTCAGAATTGTAATGGGGTTTATGGGATATCAGTGGAAGAAGGAGCGATATACGTTTTATGGGGATAAGGAAGTAAAGAAGGATATTAGGCCCCTTGATATCACACTATATAATTCGAAATCCACATTGATCCATCCAAATCATCCGTTATACCATTCAACTATCTTTTTCAGCGCCGCAGGCGAAAATGTTGAGAATATTTGAGGGCAAAAAGCTAAATTTTTTCCTTTTTCAGCGCCGCAGGCGCTGAAAAAGAGGGCCAAAAAAAGAGTGCGAAAAAAAAATTAGAGGGCCAAAAAACCGTAATTACTCCATGTAAAAATATAATGATTTTTAAAACAAAATTAAACTCATAAAATGAGTTATTTGTTGAAAGAAAAATTTGAAGAGTTATTGTCCTACGACAGGGAAGCGAACCCAACTTAAAATCACTAACCCCTTGAGTGAGGCCTAAACCCTTAACCACTCGGACACCCGCTCATCAGAATGCAATTGAAAGAAAATAAACATATTTCTTTCGATTTTTTTTACTACAAGATGAGAGTACGAGTAGTTTATTAATATTTAAAAAAAAATCAATCTTTAGGGGTGTAAAAAAGTTCCGGTTTGACCGGAACCGATTTGAAAACCGGAGCCGGAACCAATTTGAGTTCCGGTTCCCGGAACCGGAACCAAAAAAAACACCGGAACTTTCCGGAACCGGAACCGGAACTTCCGGTGAAACTCTAATAAATAAGGTGTATACAGAAATATCCAAATATTGAATGATTCCACTTAAAATCTGTTTTTGGGAAAAATAACACGTAAATCGCCCAAAAGATACAAAATGGTGTACAAAAGAAATTTGTACATTTATAGCATATCTTTATTCGACTTTTTAAATTTACTTATTTATCTATAAGGAAACAAAATTATAAATATTTACATTTTGTACATATTTAATGAGGAACTTATTTACTTTAACTACCCATCCCGAAATTTTGCCAGATATATTTTGTATATGGCCAATTTATATATCATTCGAAAGAGCTCGCCGAGCTGCATCGAAAGACACCAAAATCACCCCGCGGTCTCAAGTCTGAGCTTAGATAAATGGACTAAAAATGGTCAGAGCAAACCTTGTGAAAAATACCCGCGTTTAGCGAGGGTTTCGCGGGACACGCTTCGTGTGGAGCTAAAGGTCGCTGAGTTCTACAATAGTAACATGAACCTATACCTTTTTCCGATTTTCAGCCTTGAAATTCGGACCTACCCTCTAGCCGCACAAAAGCAGTTATTCCAGCGAAAATTTAGTTGCTCGTAATTTTGTTCAAAATCATCAAAACACGCTGATTTTGTTATCTTTCAACTCAACTCGTCGAGCTCTTTCGATTGACATATATATTGTCAAAATCTAATTGAAAAATCACACATTAAAATTTTGGGGTGTGTAGTTAAAGTAAATAAGTTCCTTTAATGAAATATAATTTTGAATAGAAAAAGTCTTTAAACGGAGGTAGTAGCTTCTATGTTTTGTTGATGGCCACGTATGTGTGTTTGTAGATTGCTGGCCCGATTAAAAGCTTTTCCACATTGTGTGCATACAAATGGCTTTACCTTAAATATTTAGATAAAGTTTGTGTTTTTAAGCTGAAAACATTTATTTGAAAAATTTAGGCAGATTAAAATCTAAATTAGTAATCGTTCAGCTCCAACGGTTTCAGACTAGAAAAACTCGTAACTCGTAAAAAACTCGTAATACTAGAAAAACTCGTAACCAGGGGTCGATCGGAAATAGCGAAGGTGCTAGAAATCGGAACTGTAGAAAATCGGAAATGGCTCAAAAGTTGGCACTCGGAAATCAGCCTAAATTTTCGGAAATCGGAATTCCGATCTACCCCTGCTCATAACCCAAAATAGTAAAAGTAAAATAGTAATTTTGTTCAAAAGCTAGAGGATAGTTCTTTAATTATTGTTCAAAATACGCAAATTAATTGCACTAAATCTGGGGGAGATGATTCGATTTCTAAACTAAATTGTAGTGAAAAAACGAAATTTGTTAATACACAAGAAAAGTCTAAAGAAGGAATTTGCACCCCAAAATTTATAATAAAATTTTTTTTGAATTTCTTACAGTTGTATGTGTATAAGCATGTCTTGTCAGATTTCCAGGTTGTCTAAATGCTCTCCCACAATGTTCACAGGAGAAAGGTTTCTCTCCAGTATGGATACGCTAAAAAATAAAAATTAATAACGACAAAAATGTAAAAATTAATGGGGTTTGCCCAGTTTAGGTGTCCTACGTCCGTCCTATTTTGGCCACTTAAATTGGATTTTCTTTTTGCAAATTTGAATTTAACTCACTAATTGTTTGAAATCTATTGCGAGTTGCCTTGGAACTATTAATTATTATAAATAGTATAGGCATGTTACTTCGAAAATTATTGGAAAATGTTTACTTACAACAAGCTAAGATTGATATAAATAATGGAAATGACGGTCACAATTCACAGCTCCCAAAAATTAGTCAAAAAATAGTTCCCCCAAAAAGTTAATTGGTTCTGGGTTTTTAAAAGTTTATGCGTCATGTATCGGGCTGATAAAAAGTCAGCACATTTAGACTAAATATACCCATCCCTGATTGTAAGCATATTCTTGGCAAGAATTTAAATTTCTAATATTTTCCCATTTATAATTTTTATTTCTTTTGTTTTATTCATTTATTAGCCTTTTCATCTACTTTCCATCCCGAATTTTACTTTTTTAGCAGAAAGCTTTTCTCTATGGAAACAGAAAATATATTTTACTTTTAGTTATTGTTTTGGATGAGCAAGTTAAGGGAGAAAATAAAAGAATAGAGAGTTGTTATTCTTTTTTACTTTTTTCATATTATGGGCTTTGACGGAAACAAAAAGTATTCATAATAGAGACAGATTTTCTATTGAAAAATTATTTGGTTAAAAATTTATATTTTGATTGAGAAAATTTCAGGTAAAGAGGCTAACAAATGAGAGTGCCTGGGGTGCCACTCGGAGAGTCCACACAGCGAAAATGGTAAAAATTTCACAACTAAAGTAGGGTATGATCTACCTGTTTGCAAAATTTCATCCTGAAATCCCTCGGACACCCAGGTAACTCTCCTTTGTAAGTGGAAAATTAACAAGAAAAAGTTTTTCCAGGTACAACTATAGTTTATTCTTTTCGTTATATTTTGCATCGGGATTCGATTACTAATCCCGGCTCGGGATTGGCAGAAACCGGGATTTGTCTTTCGGTCTCGGGATAAGAAAAATCTTGATCGGGATTCAAAAAGCTGGGATAATCCCGCCCGATCCTGACAGGGATCCCGATCCCGCCCAATTTTAATTAGTATTTCCATTTCTTTATTTTTTAAAATTATTTACGCAGGTCATCACTGTGGTCACGATTTTATGTTTTTTCATTTTTGTCTATTTTTTCTTGAACTTCCCAATTATCTGAGAAGCATAAATCGGTCAATTTTACCCCTAACCAACTCTACGTGTACTTCTTTCAAGTTACAAATTTATCCTAGCCGAAAATATTATTAGAGTTAATCCTTAACTCATGGAATAGATATTTTTCGTTCTTATAATCAAGAGTTTCTGAAATAACCAAAATTTTGTGAAAAGTCTTTATAAGAATACAGTAAGAATATTTCCTTCCCTAACCATAATTAAATATTTTCAAAATTTCCTTTCATTGTATTGAAAATCAAAATTGTCCTCTCATCTATTTATTCTCTATTTCACCAACCTAATCCTATTTGTCTCCTCAATTTTGCTTAATTGTTGGAGTGGATAATCCTTAATTTTAATTCATTGGCCTTATACTAATCCTTGAAAATGAGGACATTTTTTTGTTTTTTTTCATTATTGAGAAACAATACATATATGAGCATATTTATTGAAAAATGTGATGAAAGAATATTATTTTGATATCGAAAGTACAGAGATACACATGTTATGAAGTTATTTTTTGAATTTCAGGAAAATTTTGAAAATTGCAAGAATACAGATTCTAATAAAGTTTTTATTTCGGTTAGATTAATTGGGATTTTTGCGAAATTTTGAAGTTTAAATGCGTGTATAAATTATGAGTTATGTTTATCCTTGATTCTGATAATATATAATTTGTTATTTTAATTTAATTTTATAATAAATTATCAAAAAATTTATTAATCATTAATGTTAACGAGTTCACTGTCTATTTTTGGATGTCACACAAGTAGACAAAAGAAATATACCTACTAGACTCTGTAGAGCTATGGAGTGTTCGAACCAGAGACTATGGAGTGTTCGCAGTTATTAAGGGCTCTGTAACTGTGAGAGGTTGTGGTTTTAAATACTTTGGATCTGATGACCTGCGATAATGCTAATGATTTGGGTTGAGGAAAGAACAAGATTTTGATTGGTCCTCATCTTTGCTTAAATATTCAAAAATTTTCCTCAAAAAATAATTTTTTTACACTTTTCCCTAAAATAACTTTTCAATACTTAATTACTCTATATTTATTTCCCACACATTTCCCATCCAATCTTTTTCGCTCCAATTGTTTTTAACAATTTCGCGCGCGCCTTCAATTTAATTCTCAAGTATCAAGAAAAGAAAGGAATATACTTTAATTCTTCCTATTTTTTTCTGAAATTATTTTTCTAAATTACTCAATCTCGACTAAATGTCGAGTGTTTTTCTTTCCCTTCCCTTCCCCCTTTCTCACTTTCTTGATGACATATCTTTATCTAAAATTATTTTTTTTTGTTATTCATTCAATTTTGTGATGACCCCATCATTATGTCCCCAAAAACAAAACAAAAAAATTTTTTCTGCAATAATGAAGTGGAGTGAATAACTGGGAAATGAATTGAGGAAAAAGTATTGATGGAAGAAATTAATAGAAATAAAAATAAATTAAGTTGCGCAATGTTTTGGCAATTTACATTTAAAATAGATACTCTTTTTGAAAGATTATATTTTTAAAATAATACAATAGAAGACGCGGGCCAACGATCCCTAACAACGTGCTTCTTAGAGCTTCGCCGGAAGTTCCGGTTCCGGTAGGTCGGAAGTTCAGGGATTTTTTGGTTCCGGTTCCGGTTTGCTTATAAAATTCCGGTTCCGGCCAAATTTGCGGTTCCGGCGAAGCACTAATGCTTTGAGAACTAACATGCTATAATATTTTTATTTCAATTCGGATTCCCTCGATAAGTGTATCTTTTTCAGACTGGATTGATCAAGTTTGATCACACATTAAAAAATCTTTAACTTGATAAAATGCGAACAACACAAAAGAATTGATCACACTTAATAAGCTGTAAATTATTTAAGGGTGATCAGACTTAATCCATCCAGTTGGTAAAAGATAATGCTTAGCTTTCGAATTATGTTTTCGAAGGATTTGAGTAAATCTAAAAGAGTTATAGTCAAAGTTATATTTTGCTAGCGCTCGACTGACCCAACCCCCCATGAAGAAGAATTACATTAATTTTACCAAATATTTTCACTCCAATTAATTAAAATCTTCTTTACCTTATGCGTAATTAACGTATTTGAGCGGCTAAAAGTCTTCTCACAGATATCACATCTATACTTTTTTACATTCGATGAACGATGAGGACCCCCAATTCTACATCCATTCGTTGCTGAATGGGGCCCTCGATTTTGTTTTGTTAAAAGTTTCTTTTTCAATTCAATTCTTTAAAAAATTATTTGTCAAAATATTTAGGTGATATGGGGTCGTTTGTGGTTTTTACTTTTATTTTATTCTTGATATTAGTGGTTTGGATTAGTTGGATTTGAAACATAAGGACAATATATGGGACTATACGCTGCTTAATGATAACTTATTAAATTGTAATAAAGGCTGATTTTTAAAACTGATGTAAAATAACCCAGAAAATGACAATGAATTACAGTATGATCACTCAGATACAAAGGCCTAAATCTAAATAATCTCTTGAAATCCAGAAATAACCATTAAATTAAAAATAAATTAAAAGTAAAATGAAGTGGGGAGGCCAAGAAATGACTATTACAAAATAAAATTCCTTACTTATTTTGCCTTTTTGATTGTATTTGTGACAAATTTTTAACAGTATTTTCAGCCAAAAATTTATTTGCATATTCTCGTTGATTTGAATTTTTATGAAGGATGTTGCTTTTATGCAATTTATTTGTTGATTGGTTATTGTTGTTGATTGTAAAATTGTTGCGAGAAGCTGTAAAAATATTTTGGATTAAAGATAGGAACTTTGGTTTAAAGTTATAATCTATAACTATTTGTAATCGACATTGGAGAATTGCAAAATCCAAATCAGATTTTGTTAAGTATCAATCTCACATGAGCTATTCACTAGAGATCAAGATTTTTGAAAACCTTGGGCCTTTTCCTGAGTTCCGGGTTTGATTTATTGACTGGACCGGATCTTGGACCTGTAGTCCAGGAAAAAACAGGTCCAGGAAAACCCGGGAAGGTCACAATGACTGGGCCTTGACTCTGGGTACAGGAAAAACCCAGGCCTTGGTTCAGGCCCAGCTCGATCTCCACCCAAAACCGATTTAATTAGGGATGATTATAACGTGATTTTTTTTAAATTATCTTAAATTATAGTCAAATATCTTTTTCACATTATATTTTTAAAATTCTCATAAAATATCAAGAAATTAAAAGGAAAATACTATTTTCACACAAATTTACTATAAAAATAATTAATAAAATTACTATATTTTATACCATTTGAAGAATTTCCAAATTCATTACTTGATTCATTTCGATTTCCAAATAAATTCCGTTCTAAGGCTTTCCTTTTTATCATTTCCTGATTTGCTAGTATAAATGTTTGCATTGGGTTTTGACGTCGTAAAGCGGCCGATGCTAGAAATTGCTGCCAACAAAGAGACTGTTGTTGAATTAATATTGGGGGAGGTTTTAATTGAAAACAATTTAAATTATTTGGTAATTCTTGTTGAGGAAATTGGGAACGTTGTTGGGGGTTGAGGTGAGGGAAGGTAGCTGATAATTCTGCAACTGAAGGAAATGGTCTGGAAATTAAAGAACAATAATCGAAGCTTCGAGACTTTCATTAATCCTTTTATTCTATTATAACGAAATGCAGTTAATTTTTAACATTTTCAAACGATTAAAGTAAGTTAAACAGTCGTTTTATGTCTAAAATTTCAATACTATTCATAAATCAACGTTTGCATATATGTCCTATTTATTTTGGAATTTCATGCATATTTCACCTATTATTGCACATATTCCTGTACAAATATGCGAATCTTGCCATATTTTTATCACCCGAGTCTAGCGGATTGGATTCTTTAGAGTTGTTTTATGTAGCAGTCTGGAACTGCTACTTGAAAAAATTTTCAAATATTGTATGCCAGTATTTGAAACTTTTAAATTTGCTCGTAAACATAATCACTAATTTTGGATTTCAAACACTTCTTATTACAATATATCTTACCCAGAATTAAGAGAATTAATATAGTTATTTGAAGGGATTTGTCTTGTATTAGAATTATGTAACATTTGGCTGCCATTGTTTGATAAGTGTTGCTGGAAGAGCCTAACTCTCTGTAAAAATTCCATAGAAGCTGCCGCTGCCGTAGCTGCTGCTATTGCCTTTAAATTATTAAATTTTAAACTATTAAAGTATATAGTTTTAAAATTTCCGATACCATTTTTTGTTGAGGTGGATGTTGTTTGAATGAATTTTGCGAATTATGTTGTTGTGGTGCTTGGGGAGAATTATTTAATGATTTGAATTCAGTCTCAGAATCAGCAGAGTTAGGATTGTTTGAATCCGTTTGGGATTGGACAGCAGGCAAAAGCTTAAAACAAAATTGCATAAGAGATAATACTCTTAGCGAGAACCGAAACTTTACTAAGAAATATTCTTAGGGTGTTTTCCTTGCAGTAATGTTCTGGCAGTTATTGCTAGGAGCTTTCGCTCACCACGTACAGGAACTCTACCGACTGAGCTACCGGGACACTGCTTTCACCTTCTCTTTTAATAGATCTTAAACCCCCGCCTAGTGACCGTTTTAAATGCTTGTAGCCACCAGGATCTTTCTCATCCCTACATTATTTTGTAATATCTTGATCCTCAAGTCATACCACTAATTTATCTGTACCTTCATTAAAGCATCCAACAAAGATTTTGTTTGCTCAATCTCATCTTTATTCTTCTCATTCCTCATGTTTTCTTCATTATCAAAATGGCTAAGGCTAGGAAGAGTTTCTTCAATAGCTTCTTCTTTATCATTATTTTCATTCCTTGCTTCTTCTTGATTCTCTTCAAAATCCACTTGATGTATATTTTCATTTTTATCAAGGCATTCTTTCTGATCCCTCACAGTGTTACAAAATTTGGTCTTAATTATAAATTAATATAAGATTGCACATCCAACGAAAATAATTTAAAATTATAACAACCCAAATGATAACAAAAATGTGAATTTTACAAGGTTTTAACTTTTCAGGTACCCAAGTTAAACGATGATTTTCCGTCACTGGTGATAGGGATGGGTGCCTTTCTCTTCAGTTTCTTATTATTAACTTAGTATTTATTAACTATCCCTGCCTACACGTTTATTACTGACAAAAAATCAGATATACATAAATTGCATCTCACCTCATTTGCCTTATTATTTGAAGCAGCTTCAAGGCGTTTCTGCCGCTGTTCGAGGAGGGTGTCTATCAAGAAACATTTTCGTTGTTTTTGTAAAACTGTGATATTGCTGTTGGATGGAACTGTGTTGGAATTTCGAATATTTTTCATTTTTAATTTATTTGCTTAAGCTAAGAAAATTTGTGAAAAATATTCAGATATTTTATAAGATAAACAATGAAGAAATTAAAATAAAGAAATTGAAAATATTTTATGAGTATTATTAAAAAATAATACTAAATTTCGTATTTGTGTATGCTAAAAGAACATGACTTACCAATATTGCCTCAAATCTTTGATTCACGAATAGGGATGGGGCACGGTTCGGCCTGGTCCGTAAGATAGAGCCGGGCATCGAATCTTGGCCCTAAAAAGACTCGGTCAGGCTAATCCGATAAAGATGAAGCTGAATAAATGACTCCAACACTATTCACAAATATTCTTTACTAAAAACCATTTAAGCAATTATGCTTCGAGTTATCGTAAAATAATAGCTCTTAATTTTTCAAATATAAGAAACTAAATAGAATTTTTAAAAATTATCCATCAATTTAGCTAAAATTAAGCTATTTAAAGCGGGAAAGAAATTTCTACACCTCAATGAGATAACTGTTAAAAATATTTCTCATACAAGTAAGGAGTAAATGATCTAATTTTTAGTTATTTTTTCAAATATTTTAATTAATTTTCATCTAAAAAACAGAAAAGATAGAGTAGTATGTGAAGTACTTTTGCCATACTTGTCCATTTATCCAAAACAATTTATTCGCTATTTTAGCTGCTCATTAGCGCTTAAAAAAGATGCACACACGCAAATAAATGTTTGGCAATTAGTTGAATGGAAAATTTGCTTTCCATTCAAGGAAAGGTAAAAAATGTGTTGGATTGTGTGACAGGAATCTGGCCATTTTCAATGAATAATGGACTAGCTAGGAAGGGGATAAACGAGAATGATGGCGCTTCAGCACGGCATTTGGCGCCATCGGCTGGCCGTTCATGAAATTGGCACGCAGGAAATTACGATTCCGCTCATCAGCTCATTCACAGGGGAAAAGGAAAGGGAAGGTAATATATACTAGTTTAGTTGGGTGCGCGACTATTCACTAATGGCACCCAACTGAAAAGCATAAAACGCAGAAGAGCTACTATTCCTAAAAGAATTTGTGTGGATGTCGTGCCAACAGGGAATGGATGTGAATAAATAAATATGTGAGTATAAAACTTCCTGGATTTTTTACACCTCAAAAACAATGAAAAGCCGACAATATTATTAAATAATTATTGTATAGTTAGATAATTCTAATCTTTATAGAAAATATTAATTTTAATCACGTCTGAGGAATAATTTAATTGGAATTATATTCGAATATATATTTGGTCTTGAGTTTAAAAATTATGGAAAAATTTACTGATAAAATCATTTTATTAATCAAGAAAAACTATAAATTAGCTTCAACAAGTTATATGTATCAGAGGTGGGTCGGAAAAGTCAGAGATGTCGGAAATCGGAAGAGCCGGAAATCGGAACTGGCTCAAAAGTCAAACTCGGAAATCAAATTTTTTTTCGAAAATCGGAAAGAAAAATACGTCGGAAATCGTAAGTAAAAAATCGGAATTCCGACCACCTCTGCTATAAATTCAACCATTTGACAGTATCTGAAGGTAACTAACTCCCAGTAGCATAAATATTATTTTATAGGAGATCCGGATTGTTGAAAAATTGAAAAACATCCCTAGACCTTTATAGATAAATTTATTTTATTAACAATTTTAAATTATACAGACAAAATTTATTAACTAAAAAGTTCTAATAATTATAAACATTTATGGATACAAAATTAATTATGATATCATTGAGGATTTATTCGTGAATATTTTTTAAATTCTTAGACTAAATTTAAATTATTTCTGGAATTTAAAATTTTAAATAAGGAAAGTTTAAAAAAAATAAAAATAATTATTTGGAAATTTTATGAAGGTGGGGGGCTTTTAATGGGAATAAACGTCAAAAAGGATTAAAGTTTTTATGAATTAAAAAATCTTTTTATAAAAAATATTTAGATTTTAATAATTTATTTAATATAATGTATTTATAGAAAATTAAATAATGTTAATAAAAAATATTAAGAAGGTATTCTGTATTTATTGAAGGAGTGGAAAAGTGAAAAAATAAAAGGTAGTCATAATTATAAGAATGTAAATTATTATCTCAAAAAATTGTGATTCTCGAGAAATCTCAAATAAATAAAAATTTTGTTATTTTTAAGCTAAAATCACTTCTAGAGACAACTTTGATATCTGAGAACCCATCAAATAATAAATTAACACATTTAAAAATATATTAAAAAGAGATGGCACTAAAAAGAGACAGATCTGATTAGGATTGAACAAGAAAATTGATCAGACACTTTGAAGAATTAATTTTGGCATAAATAATTAGTTATACAAAGATCCTACCTAATTCATGAACAAACATTTTACAAACAAATAAGAAGGACCACGCCTTTTTCTTTAAAAATATTCCTTATACTATTGGTTTTTATGCAATTTTGTGATATATGAAAGTGAATTAATAAAAAAAATTATCAAGGAGGATCTCCTAATATTCCAAGATTTCCTAATATTCTATTAAAAAAATTTTTTGAATTATATTTGCAAGATAAGAGAATATCAAAATCATTTTTACCAATTGACACTTTCAAAATAAAGTCAAAATTGTGTCAATATCTCGATCAAGTTTTATTTTGGCCTTTCCCCGACCTGCTCACGGATACTGATTTTGGTATTCGTATCCGGATATTTACGGCGAATACAGGCGGTTATCAGCAGGTATTTTGATATTATCTGTATCCATATCCGTATCCATGAGCAGGTCTGCTGTTCTCATTCAAATCATAGAAATCTAGTTCTAAAATTCAGAAAAATAATTATTTAATTTATTCAATAAAGCAAAATCCTTTTTTAACCAAAAAAAGATTTTCATTTTCTAAAGCTTTTCCTACTCTAAAACTATAACAAAATAAATATATACACAGCATTCATTAGCCATTCAAAAGCTTTGTCCGGTTAACCATTCATTGGTATTGTTCTCTAGAATTTTTAAAACTCCATCCAACCTTCTTTTGTTTAGCCAAATATGAATGGAAAGGCCGGAGGAGAGGAGTATTTTTGTTTGTTTGCCTCTATAAAGCTTTTTAAGCTCCTCCTCCGCTTTTTGAGGGAAAAAGCGGCTCAATCGGTGAAAAAAGAAAAGAAAATTTTTTGAAAAAAAAGTTAAGGAAATTTAACTAAAAATTCAGCTTTTTCTTTTGTTTTTTAAAAGAAAAAATATTTTTCTTGAAAATATTTTTTATAAATTTCTCCTATACAAAAATAACGTTAAAATGGTCGCCAGGGAATTTAGAGGAAGAGGAAAATGAAAATAACTTCCGTGGAATCGTAAATGAGTCTTTTTTAATAATGAACAAAAACGAGAGGCTTATTAATTGCTTTTATGTAGAAGGAAATAAATTTTGAAAAAAGCTTATAAAAATATATAAATTTAGAATGAAATTAAATGAAATTTTGACGAGTTTATTTATAACAAAAGTGTCTGGTATTGGAATTACAAGGTTAGTTCTTATGATAAAGATATCGTATTTTAAACCAGATCTGTTACTTATTTTTGAGGGAGCCAGCGATCCTTTTAGTAATTAAATTATGTCGACCACAAGACGATTAATAAAACCCCAAAACTTTCTAAGTAGGATAAAATATTTAGACAACCGGGTAGGAATCTAATTGCAATTTTAAAGGCTAATTTAGTTTTTTTACTTAAAATTTTGATTTTTAAAGTAAATTTTCATTATTGGTAAATAATTATTTGCTATTTCGTTGGATATACATATATGACTATTTAACTATTTTCCATGCATATTTTGCCTAACCCTATCTATGTACCTTTAAAATATTTTAGATTGTTGCGAAAGTAAAATCTCAAAATGAAAAATTTTAAAAATAGATGATATAGAA